AAAAGGTAGATTAATGAACACAAAGCATGGAGTTCCAGCGCATTAGCTAACTTAACATGTGACTGTATACGTCTCTTTAAGATGGCGTCTTCAGATGTCTCGTTTTCTCCGACCAACCGTCCAAAACGCAAAGAGATTCAGTTCAGTGTCAAAAGACGAAGAAGTGAATCTCATTGCAGTCGATCTTCAGGGCACTGATCTGTTTCCTCTCTAGTGTTCTGACTTTGGAGCCTGAAACGGGACACAACTGTTGGCTGCTCTCAGAGTTTCTAACGGGCTTTAAATATGTTAGACATTGTAGAAACAAGCGATGTGTGATGATGTTTTCATTCACCTGTCTGTCTCTGTCTCAGGACATCAACGCTCACGCCTGCGTCACCGGGAAGCCCATCAGCCAGGGAGGAATCCACGGCAGGATCTCCGCCACCGGCCGGGGGGTCTTCCACGGCATCGAGAACTTCATCAACGAGGCGGCCTACATGAGCCAGCTGGGGATGTGTCCCGGCTTCCAGGACAAGACCTTCGTCATCCAGGTACGCTCCGTCCTCTTCGTCAGCTGGAAACAACTCGTCGTCCACATGAAAGCGAGTAAATCTGTGTGTCAAAGTCTGAACAACCTTCCTCTGGAATAAAATAAACGCATCAGCTGCTCGGCGTCTATAGAGCGAATATCGTAAGATAAATAGTTTAACATAATGCTTTAATTTACATTTCCCACAGTTCAACACAGTTCACATCGACTGAGCGCTCAGTCACTATTAACAGCAGTTGAGTTCATTCAGGGAACAGGTTACTTTCTCACATATATATCAGTCCAGAGGTCAGTGAAGAAAGAGTCTGACTCGGATTGAAGGACGTCTGTAAACAGCCTCTCCCTCCCTCCCTCCCTCCCTCCGTTCTTCCTCCATCACTCTTTCCATCCCTGAAATCCTCAGCGGTGACTCACCAGTGACTCAACTGGAGCCGCAGGTTTTCCTCCAGTTTCAGTGGTTCAGTTAGTCGGTGCGACTCACAGCGCAGACAGCTCAGGACTGAAATGGTTTCAGACCGACGGTTCAGATCACACTAACAACGTGCTCTTGAGCAAGACGCTTGAGCTGTAAATCCCTCTGATGAGCAGACAAACATAAAGCTGTAAGTGGGAGTGTTTGCGTGTCCGGGCACATTTCAGATGCTGTCAGTAGAGATTAAATATAAATAAATATAAATATTAAACAGGGAATAAACAACAACTACAGTCGGGTCACACTACACAACTTCCTGCCTTTAATCTGGACTCTTGAAGTGGTTTTTGATCAGCGACAGGAGGTCGAACACTGCAGGATCTGTCCCAACCGGTCGGACTGCATCATTAATAACACACACATCATGTTATGAAAGTAGGTCGAAGGGCCACAAACAAACACAGTGATGGATGTTTTTATGTGGAGTCTGACAGAGAAGCCTCACTCAGAAAAGAAACACTCAGGATCAGAACAATGAGACAGTTCTTCCATCTGTTTGTTCTGTGATTAAAGTTCTGTCCCCAGTAAAGGTGTTTGGTTTTGTGTGCAGGGTTTCGGTAACGTGGGTCTCCACTCAATGCGTTACCTTCATCGCTTCGGGGCGAAGTGCGTCGGAGTCGGAGAAATGGACGGAAGCATCTGGAACCCCAACGGCATCGACCCCAAAGAGCTGGAGGACTACAAACTGGTCAGTACTGTGGTAGACCAAATAACCAGGACTAGCAGACTGCATCAGTACTGTGTAGATCAAGTAACCACGACTACAGACTGATCAGTACTGTGGTAGATCAATAACCACAACCAGTCGCCCCCTGCTGGAAGAACAGTGTTAAATCGTTTAAATTTTAATCGCTTCTTAAGTAATCAATAAACACCGAAACTGTTAATGTGTAAATATATTGATCATCAGAATAATCAATACAAAGATTCTTACCCTGATTAACACTTGATATCAAACTCTGCTTCTTCTAATAAACAATTTATTATATTTTAATAGTTTCACTTTGGGACAAATATCATTATCAATCGATCGAACTGACTGATCAATATTTTCCGTCTCCAGGCCAACGGCACCATCGTGGGCTTCCCGAACTCGACGCCGTACGAAGGAAGTATCCTGGAGGCCGACTGCGACATCCTGATCCCCGCCGCCAGCGAGAAACAGCTGACGAAGGGCAACGCACACAAGATCAAAGCCAAGGTCACACACACACACACACGTGTGTGTGGTGGTGTGTCATAGTGTGTGTGTTGTGTGGTCAGTGCTGTGTGCTGTGGTTGTGTGTCGTGTGTGTTGTCAGTGCTGTGGTGTGTGTGTGTGTGTGTGTGTTGTGGTGTGTGTGTGGTTGTGTGTGTGCTTGTGTGTGTCACGCTGTGTGTGTGTGGTTGTGTGTGTGTGTGTTCTGTGCTTGTGTGGTGTGTGTGTGTCTTGTGTGGTTGTTGGTGTGTGTCTCTGTGTGTGTGGTGTGTGGTGTGTGTGTTGTCCAGTGTTGGTGTGTGTGTGTGTGTCGAGTGTGTGTGTGTTGTGTTGTGTGTGTGTTCAGTGTGTGTGTGTGTGGTGTGTTGTGTGTCTCTGTGTGGGTGTGTTGTGTGTACTCTCTGCTGTGGTTTGTGTCTGTTGTGTGTGTGTGTGTGTGTTGTCTGTGTGTGTGTGTCTGTGTTGTGTGGTGTAGGTGGTGTGTGTGTGTGTGTGTCAGAGTGTGTGCTTGTTGTGTGTGTGTGTGTGTGTGTCAGTGTGTGTTGTGTGTTGTGTCTCTGTGTGTGTGTCAGTGTGTGTGTGGTCAGTGTGTGTGGTGTGTGTGTGTGGGTGTGTCATGTGTGTGTTGTGTGTCAGGTGTGTTGTGTGTGTGTCGTGTGTGTTCAGTGTGTGTGTGGTACTGTGGTGTGTGTGTTGTGTGTGTGTCTCTTGTGTGTTGTGTGTGTGTGTTGTGTGGTGTGTGTGTGTGGTGTTGTCTGTGTGTGTGTGTGCTGTGTTGTCTGTCTTGTGTGTGTGTGTGTTGTCAGTGTGTGTGTGTGTCCTCTGTGTGTGTGTCAGTAGTCGTGCTGTGCAGCTGTGTGTGGTGTGTGTGGTGTGTGGTGTGTCAGTCGGTGCTGTGTGTGTGTGTTTTGTGTGTGGTCTGTGTGGTCTGTGTGTGTGTCAGTGGTTGTGGTGTGGTGCTGTGATGTCTGTGGTGCCTGTGTGTGTGTCAGTGTGTGTTCATGTGTGTGTGTGTCTCTGTGTTGTGTGTCCAGTGTGTGTGTTGTCTCTGTGTGGTGTGTCAGTGTGTGTGTGTGTCTCCTTGTGTCATTGTGTGTGTGTGTCTCTGTGGTGTGTGTCAGTGTGTGTGTGTGTCTCTGTGTGTGTGTGTGTGGTGTGTGTGTGGTGTCTGTGTTGTGGTGCTCTGTCGTGTGGTTGTGCTGTCAGTGTGTGTGTGTGTCCTCTGTGTGTGTGTACAGTGTGTGTGTGTGCTGTGGTGTGTGTTCAGTGTTGTGTGTGTGGTGTGTGTTGTGTGTGTCTGTGTTTGTGTGTGT